TATTGAGATTTGCCTCAAAATAATTCACAATGGTGAGGGAGTAGAGAATGGATACAGGTTTAGATAAAACAAGACTGGGATCAGGCATGGTGGCTCACGCCTGTAATCCCAACACTTTGGGAGGCTGAGGCAGGAGGACGCTTGAGCTCAGGGGTTCAAGACAAGCCTGGGCAACGTGGCAAAAACTTATCTCTACAAAAAATACAAAAAATTGGCCAAATGTGATGGCACTCCCCTGTAGTCCCAATTATTCGGGATGCTGAGGTGAGAGGATCACTTGAACCAGCAGGTTGAGGCTACAGTGAGCCATGATCATGCCACTGCACTCCAGCCTGGGTGACAGAGTAAGACCCTGTCTCAATCAATTAATCAACAAATAAATAATACTTTATTATTTATTATTATTTTTTGAGATGGAGTCTCCCTCTGTTGCTCAGGCAGGAGTACAACGGCGCGATCTCAGCTCACTGCGACCTCTGCCTCCTGGGTTCAAGCAATTCTCCTGCATCAGCCTCTCCAGTAGCTAGGATTACAGGTACATGCCACCACACCCTGCTAATTAGTAAATAATACTTTATTATTAAAAAATGCTATTTACTGAATCATCTGAGCCTTCAGCAAGTCATAATCTTTTTGCTACTGGAGGATCTTGCCTCAATGCTGATGGCTGCTGACTGTCAGGGTGGTGGTTGCTAAAGGCTGGGCTGGTTGTGACAATTTCTTAAGACAGTAATGAAGTTGGCCACATTGATTGACTTTTCCTTTCACAAAAGATTTCTCTGTAGCATGTGATTCTGTTTGACAGCATTTTACCCACAGTAGAACTTCTTTCAAAATTAAATCAGTCTCTTGCCTGCCACCATGTAAGACATGACTCTGCTCCTCATTTGTCTTCTGCTATGATTGTGAGGCCTCCCCAGCCATGTGGAACTTTGGCTGGGGAACAGACCAGGGAATCAATGGCTTTGGAGAGGAGCCAAGAATTAAATTTCAGCTAATGAACCTTATTCAGTCTGTAAGAATTTTGATGAGAGTGGCATTGATAATAGTAAACTCAACTGCAATTGTGTTTCTCTTATTATTTGGATGAGTATCAGTGGAGGAAATGGCGACTCAGAAGACATGCCAGCAGAAGTTATTACCTCAGTCATTACTGGAAATCTTAGCTGGCTGACCTTGCACTTGACAAGAATGTAACGGTGAAAATAAAACCAGACTTTCTATTTATCTGAAAAAAACAAAAAAAATTAAAAAATGAAGTCAATCTGGCCAGGTGTGGTAGCTCACTCCTATACTCTCAGGACTTTGGGAGGTCAAGGCAGGACTGCTTGAGGTCAGGAATTCAAGACCAGCCTGGGCAACACAATGAGAACCTCATCTCTACAAAAAATTTAAAAATTAGCTGGGTGTGGTGGTACACAGCTGTAGTCCCAGCTACTCAGGAGGCTGAGGCAGGAGGATCACTTGAGCCCAGGAGTTTGAGATTAGTTTGAGCTATGATTACACCACTGCACTCTAGCCTGGGCAAAAGAGTGAGACCCTGTCTCCAAATAAATAAATAAATAACATTTTTTAAAAAATTGGAGTCAACCTTCTCAAATCCTGCCACTGCTTTACTAATTGAGTTTACATAATATTCTAAATCCTTTGTTGTCATTTCAAATGTTCATAGCATCTTCACCAGGAGTAGATTCCATCTCAAGAAAGTATGTCAGCTATAGCTTTACTAAATTACTAAATATATCTCTTAAATAATAAGACTCAGAAGTTGAAATGACTCCTTGATCCACAGGCTGCAGAACAGACATTGTGTTAGCAGGTATGAAAACATTAATCTCCTTGTACATCTCCATCAGAGCTCTCAGGTGTCTAGGTTCATTGTCAATGGACAGTGCTATTTTGAAAGAAATCTTTTTTTGTGAGCAAGAGGTCTCAACAGTGGCCTTAAAATATTCAATAAACCATGCTATAAACAGATGTGCTGTCATCCAAGCTTTATTGTTCCACTTATAAAGCACAGGCAGAGTATATTTTGCATAATTCTTAAGGGCTCTAGGGTTTTTGGAATGGTAAGTGAGCACGGGCTTCAACTTAAAGTCACCAGCTGCCTTAGTCCCTAACAAGAGAGCCAGTCTGTCCTTCGAAGCCAGACTCTGACTACTCCTCTCTAGCTATGAAAGTCCTAGATAGCAGGCTGGTCATAGTGGTTACTACATACTTGTAATCCCAACTACTCAGGAGGCCAAGACGGGAGGATCACTTGAACCAGGAATTCAAGACCAGCCTGGGCAACATACTAAGACCCCCTCTCTACAAAAATTGTTTTTACAAAGTTAGCCAGGTGTGGTGGGTGTGCATCTGCAGTTCTAGCTACTCAGGGGGCAGGAGGATGGCTTTAGTCAGAGTATAACGTTACAGTGTGCTATGATCATGCTACTGTCTCTTAAAAAAATAATTAAATTTAAAAAAGAAAGTCCTGGATGGCATCTTTTTCCAATAGAAGGCTGTTTTGTCTATACTGAAAATCTGCTGTTTAGTGTACCGCCTTCATCAATGATCTTAGCTAGATCTTCCAGATAATTTGCTGCAGCTTCTCCATCAGCACTTGTTGCTTCACCCTGCACTTTTTGTTATGGAGATGGCTTCTTTCCTTAAACTTCATGAAAACCAACTTTGCTAGCTTCAAACTTTTCTTCTGCAGCTTCCTCACCTCTCTTAGCCTCTATGGAAGTGAAAAAAGTTAAGGCCTTGCTCTGGGTTAAGCTCAGGATTTAGGGAATGTTGTGGCTGGTTTGATCTTCTATCCAGAACACTAAAACTTTCTCCATATCAGCAATAAGGCTATTTTGCTCTCATATTATTTGTGTGTTCACTGGAGTAGCACTTTTAATTCCTTCAAGAACTTTTCCTTTGCTCACAATTTGGCATACTGGCACAAGAGGCATAGCTTTCAGCCTGGCTCAGCTTTTGACCTGCCTTCTTCATTAAGCTTAATCACTTATAGCTTTTGATTTAAAGCGAGAGACATGTAACTTCCTTTCCCTTGAACATTTACAAGCCATGCAGAGTTATTAATTGACCTAATTTGAATATTGTTGTGTCTCAGGGAATAGGTAGGCCCAAGGAGAGGGAGATGAGGAAGGATCAGCTGGTGGAGCAATCAGAACACACACAACATTTATAAATTAAGTTCACTGTCTTATATGGAGGCAGTTCATGGCACCCTGAAATAATTACAACAATAACATCAAAGTTCGCTGATCACAGATGACCATGACAGATATAATAATAATGAAAAGTTAAAAATACTGTGAGAATTACCAGAATGTGACACAGAGACACAAAGTGAACACATGCTTTTGAAAAGTGGCACTGATAGACTTGCTCAATGCAGGGTTGCCACAAATCTTCAATTTATAAAAATGCAATATCTACAAAGCTCAATAAAACAAGATATGCCTGTACCAAGATTAGAAAGCAGTCATATCTATCACAGAAAGGCACACTGCTTGATGGGGTTGAGGTAGTAATGGGATGGGCACCTAAAGAAAGTGAAGACAGGCTTGGAACAAAATATAAATACAAAAAACAAAGCTAACAAGATAATTAAATATCTAATCAGAACTACAGCTGCTGAGGATTATTTTTAACTGGCACAACACTGTTAGCAAGATTTCATGACAGCATTTAGACTTCAAATGTAAATTAATGAATGGGTTAATACCATCCTAGGCTCATTCTTCAATACTATTTTAGAAAATTATTACTGCAAGAAGCAACTAAAAAATCCCAACAGATCAGCTAAACTGCTCTCTTGATAAAATTATACAACACAGTAGAATTATGCTGCTTCCAAAAGTTGGTCTATTAAGGCGGGGGGGTGGGGGGAAGATGTAAAAAGTCCTCTAGAAAAAGCCTTCTTAGTCAGTTGCCTTAGTTTTCCAAGATTGCCTCATGAAAGACCTCATCATCCCTTTGAGCCCCATTGGAAAACCTGGATAGGATAGACCAAGTGAGACATTTCTTATGCTGTCCTCTCCAAAGGGCTCCACTCTCACCCATTTCTCATCACCCAACCCCCTAACCCCTCCAAATGGCTTCCTCCAAAAACCACAATCATCCACCACCCTCAGAGTCTAAAGAAAATGATTTTAGTCCTAGCTCTGCCTCTAATAAGGAGACAGAGAATCTCAAAACTTCTCAGTGAAATGAGGGATTACGTGAATGGCTTTCTAAGATCCCTTTCGATGTTCTTATTCCTACATGAGGTTTTCCTTACCTAAGGAAACAAAGCATCAGGCCGTGGCAGATGGGTTTTCCTGTGACTCTCTCAGCAGAAGTGATTAAGGAAACCAAAACAGAGACACAGGATCCTCAACTCCTTTAAGACTCTGCTTAACTTAGGCTGGCCGGCAGAGGCTGGGACTACAAGAAAACCTAACTGCTGCCATGAAATCAAATATCTTTCTAAAGTGACAAGAACCCAGTGGGGTGAGAGGTGAAGAAGGAGTGGGGAGAAATCAAGGTCTTGGAGTTCTCCTTGGCCCATTCCATCACTTCCTGTATGTGCTGGGTTCTGGTGCCACAACCTTTTGTCCTCTGCATGTCCACATCCTGCTCCTAAGATATAGCAAGTGAACTGGAGTGTGCAGGCCTGACGTCCAATCTAAAATTCCAGTTTACATGGATGAGAGCCTGAGTCGGAAACAAGTTCAAAATAATCCTAAAATAATCTCAAATAAACCATAAAACTACAAAACATATCAATGTGGTCATTCTTGTGACAAAGCAGATCTTTTTAGGTGAGATCTGTGACCATCTTAAGAGATAAATTCCAGGCAGCAATCGCTGTTAAAAGTAGTTTTAGCTGTGTATTCCAAAGGCACTATCTATTTTCTAGCAAGACATACCCACTGGCTGGACTCTTGGGAAAAACAAACAGACAGACGGCAGATAAGAAAGAGCAATAGCTTGTTCAACTTGGTACTAATGCTTCTTACCCACATATTCTGAGAGGAAGACGACAAAGAATGGAGTGACCAGGTCATTAATTCCCTGGACATACCCACTGGCAGGGTGGCGGATGGCCCAAATAAATAGAATTCTTTCAAAGATCTAGGAAAATGAGAAAGAAAGACACGAGTGTTAAATCATGGGGACACACTCCCTCCCTCCGTTTACCTACTTCACTATTTACCTCTGGGTTGGTGTAGAATGTTTAGGAAAATTTTAAAATACTGTGGGATAAAGAAGTATATAAATGCAAAAAGTTTCTAATACACTAATTGTTTTCAAGTAGGGGTAGACACTTCTTGCTCTTTATTCATTTTTTCATTATCTGGTCACCATAATACGAAATTGGGAAAAGGAAAGAATTGCAACCCAAATGACTTAGAAAACATTTGGGATGAATGCTGTTAATTCAGGCCACCACATTCTCATCTGTAGATACTGTTTTCTATTTCCAAGAGCAAGATATCAGAACATCCTAGTTCTGATGCTTTTTTCTAAATTTTTTTTTGTCATTATAGGATTTAGAGAGGAAATACCTTCTCTACTACCCTCCACTCTCCCTGCTGAGAAGAAAGGAGGTCTAGATTTAATTCTAACCCAGCCTGACTAGGACCAAGCGACAGACTGCACATTGCAGGAAGTCACTTCACATATCAGGATACAACTCAGACATCTGCGAAGGATAGGAAGTTAAACAAAATCCTATGGACTCCTACAGCTGGGTATTTGAGAACAGAGAAACCAGCCAGGGCCCCCATGGGAAAGACCCTGGGGTTTAGCATATTAGCCACAAGAAGCCAGAGGCCTAGGCTGGGGACAAAGGAAAGATCTCTATGGTCCCTTTACAGAATCATGCCCTGTACCACTCAACTATACTCTCCTTGCTTTCATTAGGCCCTCTGAGTTTCTCCCCACCTTCTCTCAACCTGATGATACCCATTGCCTGGTTTCATTCTGTTGACCACAACTCCTGAGTCTGACACATTCTTGAGACTGGTTTTGACTGGGCTGCCTCATGTCTCTGTGAACCACACCAGAGAGATGACAGAGGTGATGGTGAATACATGCAGATGATAGGGTAGGAGATTAGAAAGCACGTGGACTCAGGAGAATCTCAGCCAATCACCTCAGCATCAGAATGAAGAGGCCCTCTCAAGCAGGTGCAAGGGAGAAAAACCTCCCAGGGAGACCAATAAACAGGAAATGGTTATATGGTTTTTGGAGATGGTTATCTAGTGTAGGAGGGACATAGAGAATCTAGAGACATATAAAGGATGCTCCCCAGCCCCTCTGTCATAGATAGTTGTGTCTACAGCTGGCAAACAGAGCTGAGAAACGGTTTCCTTCACTGTCAACACTGCTGCCTTCACAGGCAGTGAGAACAAAGCCCTCCCTCGAAGGGAGCTGGCCTCTCTGCCTTCACTAGACCTACCCATTTGCTTTGTGCGGTTGAGGAAAAGGCACAGCAACCTCAATTGCATTCAGCCCAACACTCTAATGGGAGCATTCTTATACTCTATTTCCTCTCTGTTGCTAAATGACCCCTCTATCTTGAAAACACAGCCAAAGCTAGAACCATCGTTTTCAGGAAAATCTCAAGAATTCCCTGGCTCACTCTCTTTCTTTGTATTTCTTGTGACCTGGGTCTGTCTAGATGCCTCTGTTAAAAAGCTCCTCCAGGTTGGTCTTTCCAAAGGACTTAGAAGGGCTTCTACTCCATAGGATCAGCTCCTTGTAAATACTCATATCCTTGGTGCCTGGCTGTAACAATGGCCAAGTACATGGAAGCTAGCTGTTCAGAATCAGGAGACCTGCAATCATCCTCTTTAGTAAGGGTGGGACAACACAAACACACTCACACGGTCAAAGTGAAGTGGTCAAAGAGATGGAAACTGAAGAGCACCAAGCCTGGTAATCAGGGGAGACCATGGGATGCTCACTGTAGAAAAAGTCTGGGATAATCCTGCCTTATAGAGAGGAGTGGATAGGAGAACCCCTGGAGGTTTTCCTATGTCTCTTCTACTAGTGTGGGTACTTTTTATATACTATAGTCAATTCTCAGGTATCTTTCAGGTTTTCAAAGCAAGCCTTTCCGTATTCAGTGTTACTTAGTTCTTTACTTCTTGGTTGGCATTTTTACTAGACTGGATGGTGGCTCACGCCTTGTAATTCCAGCATTTTGAGAGGAAAAGCAGTAAGAGTGCTTGAGGCCAGGGGTTCAAGACCAATCCTGGGCAACAAAGCAAGACCCCATCTTTACAAAAAATTATGAGAAAAAAATTAGCCAGGTGTGGTGGTGCATGATTGTAGCCCCAGCTACTTGGGAGGCTGAGGCAGGAGGACTGCTTGAGCCCAGGAGGTAGAGGCTGCAGTGAGCTATGATCACACCATTGCACTCTAACCTGGGTGATAGAGTGAGACCCTGTCTCTTAAAAAGTTAAAATAAAAAAAAATTAAAAAGATGACTGTAGCCTGCTAGATGAAATGGTAATTCAGGAAAAATTGGAAAGAATAAAGTTTGAGTTCCCATATTGTATTCAGGATGCACTACTAAGAGAAGCCACCAGCCCCCAACCTTTTTTTTTTTTTTTTTTTTGAGATAGGATCTTGCTCTGTCACTCAGGCTAGAGTGCAATGGCACGATCATGGCTTATTGCAGCTTTGACCACCTGGGCTCAAGAGATCCTCCCTCCTCAACCTCCCAAATAGCACAGGCACAGTAGCACAGGCACATACCACCATGCCTGGCTAATTCTGTAACTTTTTTGAGACAGAGTCTCGCTATGTTACCCAGACTGGTCTCAAACTCCTGGGCTCAGGCTGGTCTCAAACTCGTGGGCTCAAGCAATCCCTCTGGCCTTGGCCTCCCAAAGTGCTGGGATTATAGGAGTGAGTCACCATGCCTGGCTGAGAAGCCTTTTAAACTGACTACTTTCCCCATCTCCAAATTTAGAGTAAGCATGCACAGGTAAAAGAAAAGTCTCTGAACATCTCCAAGTTAAAATGAGGAATAAGCAGTGCTGACCATGGAAAACTGTATGGGAGGATAAAGGGATCGTGAATGGGTTTTTAGCTTCCTATGAGCTGAATCTTATAGTTAAAATAATGGTGTTACCTTCAAAATCTTATTTATGCTATGGGTAAGACATGAGGGACCCCACCAGTGGAGACATCTATATTTAAACAAAATTATAAATACAACCCAAAGTCAAATAGAAATTATTTTCAGCATTTTAACCACCATCCCTCTCTATTATGAGAATGGCAAGTTCTGTTAAAAGAGCACTAACACTTAGTGTCCTGGCTACTGTAAAGTTGCAAAGGAAATCCCTAATCTTAAGAAGTTTACAGTTACTGCTTGAGTCAAAACATAATAGTCCCACTGACACCTTCCATGTACTTCATTAACTTGTTAGGTCTCAAAACATAACTACTAATCCCACTTCTAAATATATACCCAAAAGAATTTAAAACAGAGACTCAAACAGATAGTCACATACCCATACTAGCAGTAGCATTACTCACAATAGCCAAAATGTGAAAGCAACCCATGTGTCCACTGACAGATGAAGAGCTCAACAGTATGTGTTACATATGCACAACGGAATATTATTCAGCCTTAAAAAAGGAAGGAAATTCACACATGCAACAACAGGCATGAATCTTGAAGATATTATGCTAAGTGAAATAAGCCAGTCACAAAAGGACAAATATTTTATGATTCCACTTATTTGAGCTACCTGGAGTAGTCAAATTCTTGGAGACAAATAGAATGGAGGCTGCTGGGGAAGGGAGTTAATATTTAAAGGATACAGAGTTTCAGTTTGGGAAGATGAAAAATGTTCTGGAAGTGGATGGTGATGGTCATACAACAACGTGATTGCACTTAATGCCACCGAGCTGTACACTAAAAAATGGTTAACATAGCAAATTTTATATTATGTATATTTTACCACAATTTAAAAAATCACTACTTCCAGCTTGATAAAGTAGAGCAAATACAGGAATAGGAATTCTAAGATGTGGGTTCTTCATTCTGCCACCAGGTAGACTCGAAATTCTGAGCAAGTTCCTTAGCCTCTCAAAGTGTTATTCCGCTCACAGATTTGTTATGAAGATGAAATGAGAATGCATGAAACCGTGCTCTAAAGGAACCAAAGCTGCATATATGAACATAAGGTACTATTATGATTAGCCGCAAACCTGTAAACAGGTGCCACAGAACTATGCAGGGAGAAGCGCCAAAGAACATTAAGTAATTCCCTCACCTCCTGTACAAGTGGTTGCTGGAACAACGGAATGAGAGGATTCGTCCTTGGAATGTCAATGTGAATCTGAAAAAGAGAAGGCATGTCCAAAAACACAAATGCCAGTTTGTTCTTTTTTTTGTTGTTGAGACGAAGTCTCACTCTTGTCCCCCAGGCTAGAGTGTAATTGGCACTATCTCGGCTCACCGCAACCTCCGCTTCCAGGGTTCAAGCGATTCTCCTGTCTCAGCCTCCCAAGTAGCTGGGATTACAGGTATCTGTCCCTATGCCTGGCTAATTTTTGTATTTTTAGTAGAGATGGGGTTTCACCATGTTGGCGTAGCTGGTCTCGAACTCCTGACCTCAGATGACCCACTCGCCTCGGCCTCCCAAAGTGCTGGGATTACACATGTGAGCCACCGTGCTCGGTCCAGTTTGTTCTTTTGACAAGTTTTTTTTTTTTTTTTATTAAAGAAATGGGAATCAAAGTAGTAAGAAAACACAGTTTATCTTCAGAAAGAAGTGACTGACACAGAAAAAAAATCTAGTTATACCTACCTGCCCATATGGAACATGTTTCCATGATAACAGTAGTTTATTAGGAAACCGCCCAAAAGAAACCACTTAAGTCAAATGGCAATAGGCTTCACAGCCTGAGGGTTTTTTCTTATTGCTCTGAAGTCTGTTTCACTCTGGGCTGGCATGTATGTAGCAGGTATGATCCAAGTAGGTACCCCTCTTTCAGAATCTTACTCATCGACAGTTCCTAAGAACTAGAAGAGCTCAGAAAGCTGCATAAATGTCCTAAAATAGGGAACCAGAGATGAACTTGTTTATGAAGTCATGACGTGTAAGAAGTGGGGAAGGGCCAGGGGCAATGGCTCACGTCTGTAATCCCAGCACTTTGGGAGGCCGAGGCGGGTGGATCACTTGAGGTCAGGAGTTTGAGACCAGCCTGGCCAACATGATGAAACCCCATCTGCACTAAAAATACACAAATTAGGGCTGGGTGCGGTGGCTCACACCTGTAATCCCAGCACTTTGGGAGGCTGAGGTGGGTGGATCACCTGAGGTCAGGAGTTCGAGACCAGCCTGGCCAACATGGCAAAACCCTGTCTCTACTAAAATTACAAAAATTAGCTGGGTATGGTGGTGTGCGCCTGTAATCCCAGCTAACCAGGAGGCTGAGGCAGGAGAATTGGTGGAACCTGGGTGACAGAGACTGGTGTGAGCCGAGATTGCACCACTGCACTCCAGCCTAGGTGACAAAACAAGACTCCGTCTCAAAAAAAATAAACAAAATATTAGCCGGGCCTGGTGGCGCATGCCTATAATCCTAGCTACTCGGGAAGCTGAGAGGCAGGAGAATCACTTGAACCCAGGAGGCGGAGGCTGCAGTAAGCCAAGATCACGCCACTGCACTCCAGCCCGGACCACAGAGCAAGACTCCATCTCAAAAAAAAAAAAAGTGGGGAAGGACCAAAAGCAGTTGGCCTTCAGTAACTGAAGCTGAAAGTTCTTACTTCTGTTACCTAAGACGTCACTATGTCCATTTCAATTCGGGGATTTCCCAATGCCCAGTCTAGCTATGCAAAAGAATGTGTCAGCAGCAGCAGCAGAGGCTACTTCAGTTCTTGAGGCTTGTTGTAGATAGCTGCCCACCTTTCACTTTCTGCAACCCCTGGCCTACTCTTCTCCTCCCTCCATGTGTGATGTTGGGAGCAGACCTTTCTGCAGACCATGAGGACCATTATGGGCAGACGGAAGACTCCCTGACAAGACTACTGATAGCTACAGCTCCTACAGACAGTCACAGAGGCCGAAACAGCACTGCAGCTGCCAGGAAGACATACTGATGTCATAGTCCAGAGGGACTGGACCACTGCTAAGTGAGCTTGTCTTTCCTCTCCATACTCGATAACTCTTACTACTCATAGCGTGGTTGGTGGACCAGCAGCAGCAGCATTGCAAGGAAGCACATTAGAACTTCAGGTTTTACCCGAGACCCGCTAAATCAGAATCTGCATTTTCTCATAATCTCTAGGTGAGATCGTATCAAAATCCTAGGTGATTTGTATGTACATTAAAGTTTGAGAAGCACCGCACTGACTAGTGCCAAAAAAGTCTGTCTATTTAAAATGGCTAAAATCAGAGCTGCTGAATGAAAAGAGGGGAAACAGTTTTGAGGATAAATTTAACTCCTAACCAACATACCACAGCCTGAGGACTTGGAAAGCCTGTACCCTGAGAGCACTACCATGAGACACACCTAAAGTGTATGACTGGTAAGCAAAGAGGCAGCAGGTGATGACTATACCTGTCTGTAGGTATCCTGGTGATGTTCCTCATTTCGAGAGTCATAATACTGTTCAATGAAGCCAAAATATTCCTCCCGCTTCCGCTGCAGGGTCAACTTTCTCCTCTCAGTGTTTGCTGGGAGATAGCCCTATAGACAAGACTGCTGGTCAGATAGGGAAAGACAATGGTTGGATAAATCCTTAATTTTTATTTTAATCTATGCAGTGGTTTGGAAACTATCAAGAAGGAAAACTGCCAAGGGTAAATCCCTTCTTGGTTCTGGCCACCCATTTTTTGCCCTCTTCTCATTGAATGAGATCCACATGTGAGCAGATGAAGCAAGGCCAGCTTTCCCAGGATTATTTACTCCCTTGGCCCTGTACTGTGCTGAAGCTTGAGCCACTGGTGAGCACTCCTCAGCTCCCAGAGCTGGCACAGTACAGGAGTGAATGTAGGTCAGTGGGAGGGAGCTGGACCCAAGTCATGGCCTTGGAGGGCTGCGTGTGTCCAGGGCCATACTTCTGAGAAATGCAGGGATATAGCAACCTCTACAGCACATCTCAGCAGTGTGCCAAGTAAGTTGGTGCCAGTTACATTCTTTTCCAGTGTAACTTTCAGAATTACCAGCTTAGGAAGCAGCTGAATGGAATCCGTGACATAACAGCTACAACACTCAGACAGAACTTCTGGCAGCAGCCCCCAGCCTAGCCAAAGCTCCAGGCCAACTTTCATTCTTATCCTTGGTCTAGATCCCACTTTCATTCTTATATTTTCTGTTCCCCTTCCGTTCTCACCAAATCTACTCTGAATAGCATTCAAACTGATTAGAAGTGGCAGAGGCAATGATTACATGGTTGCAAGAGTAGAGGTGGGGTGAGCAGTCAGGAGACAGACCCTTCTTCTTGAAAACATTTATGTAATGCATTCCACAGTGAGTGCCTGGAGAGCAGGGACTGTGGTTTATTCATTTTTGTATCTGCTCAGAGCATCTGGCACTATGCCTGGCAAACAGCAGACCCTCAATCAATCCTCACTAGATGAATGAATGAATTTTACAGGCTCAGGAAACCCAAGTGTTCCTATCGTAGCGGCTGGCACAGTGCTCTGTACTTGGTGAAAGCAGGACTAGTAAGGCTTCCAAGGGAGGCCCATTTATCAACTCTTTACAGATCAAAGTGGGTTTCAACTTTTGGTTACTCCAACTGAAACAGGAGTAAAGCACAGGGAATGTTTGAGCTTGCTCAAAGCAAGTGCTGGGGTCACCCTATCTCACTCACTCTATTCTTCCTCGCTGTTAATAACGTGAGACCATGACTATTGGTACAAGTCTGTGTACCTCTACATGTGTGTGAATAAACTCTCAAGAATGTGTTTCTTTATGCACAGAAATAGGACTACAGTCCCATAGTTCTGTCATATCCAGTAGGACTAGAGAAGTCTATGGAGTTAAGACCAATGTGTCCAGACTAACCTCATCAGGCAAGAAGGGCTGTGTGAGGCTCACACTTCTCTACACAGTAGGTAGAACTCACCGACAGGAGTCTCCAGGTTACAGGTCGAACCTCCCTGGGAACCCCTGGCCAGCTACACTTCCTCAGTTCATCTGTAAACAGAAAACAGCCTTGTTAGGTGAACTCTCCACAAATGCTCTAAAGCAAACCGCAACCAGCACTGCCTGATGTCTCCTTCCATTCATGTAAGACCACCACCACCACTTGCTACCCATAAGCACAGGGAAAAGCCCAAAACAGCCCTGAGCAGCCAAGTGCCAAGGACATGGCCTTGCAGTAGCAGTCCTGTCAGCTCAGAGATGAAAGTTAGAGGGGAAGAGAAAGACCAGTGGGTGTAGATTTCAGCAAGAGTCACCATGAGATAGAGGAGATCAAAGTCAGAATAGTTGCACTAGGGTCTACAGGTCACAGAAACCAGTCCCACCTAATTTGGTCCATAATCTCTAGTAACATATGTCTGACTTAATACCTGCATGTCACTGCAATGGGCACCAGGTCAGGAGAAGCTAGAAAAGTAAAAGAAGGAAGAATAAAGAGCAGTAGCTTCCAGGTCTCTGAGAATTCCAGTCACCAAAAGCTCCTACCTTGCCTGGGCTCACAGGGACTCACCTAAGTCAGTGTTGTGGCTGGAGAGAAGCTGACGGAATTTTTCTAGGCGGGTTTTCTCCCGGACAGTCATTGGGGGGGCCCCAGAGGCGTTCTGATCCGAGATCCGGGCAACGAGGGGGATGATGGGCCGGAGAGGGAGTGACTGCTGTTTGTGGAGTGGGTTCCTCAGGCATGTATCACCTGAGATCATTTGAAAAAGAAACAGAATGGGCTGTGTGAGGAGCATGGATTCTGAGAAGCCTTAAACCTAATCGTTCAGCATCGTGTCTCCTCCCCAAGGCCGTGGCTGCCTGTGTGCACTGCCTGAGGTGCCCAGCTGAGGGGCAGCGAGGGACCAGAACCCAGCCACGCTCCATTCACTGCCCAGAGAAAGGGCTGCATTTATATCAAACACACCAAGGCACCTTAGGTGCTAACAGAGACTCCAGAAGCTGCAGCAACTTTTGAGAACTTTTTTGGTGACTCTAAAGGAAAATCAAATGTTTTCTTTCTACCCCAACTTGGAACTTTTCTTGATGCCAAACAGTGAGTTTAGTTTAGTCTAAGGCAGAGTTTTCCTTCCCATTCCACATCCCAGAGCACATAAGGAATGATGACAAGGCAGATGACACCACAAAGCACAAGGCTGCAATAAATGGAGGTGGTTGCTCTCCACAAGCCCCGGAACCCCCGGCTGCTCCATGGACTAAGAGGATCAATATCTCCACACATCCTGTACCTGGTTCTTGGCCCATCAGTGTGCCCTGGTGAGAAGCTCTGGCCTAAGGCAATCCTGCCTTTGGTGGCTGCGGTTCCTTTGTGCGCCTACATTTCCCACCAAAATGAACCAGTTCTTAATTCTGCCAGGATATGACTGAAATAACAAACAAAGACTCAAACTGAACTCTGTCTTGTTCTCGACATTTCTAGACTGGATGGTGGGTAGGGTGAATAAGCACTACAGGACTCACATATATTGAGTGTTTCCTATGTATAAGGCATATAGGTCACTTTTACATATGACCTCTCATTTGATCCTTAGAACACATGGTAGGAATGTATAACTATTTTACAGACAAGAAACTGCAGCTCAGGGAGATTAAATTATTTGCAAGTGAGAGGTGAAAAACCACCTTAGGTAAGCCTGACTCTGAAACTCTTGTATTATCACAAGCAAAACTCAGTTTTTAATTCTAGTTGTGCTTACATGACTGCCTCATACTCTTTACACGGCTGGGCTTTAAAAAGTAGTAGTCATAACAAAAATTAAACAGTGAATATCAACCAACCAGTACTACTAGAAGGCTTACAAAAACAACTTCCACGAGGCAGTTGGCTGGGACGCCTAGTGTAACGAGAGGACTAGAAAATGCAGACACACTGCAGAGCTGAGACAGCTGTAAATCTCTGCTATTACCTATTTACAGACAGATGCCCGCAGGAGAAAACCTCCTCAGGGAGAATGCTCTGGGCTGGGCTGGGGAGGTCCTGGCTGCACAGGGCAGCTCATTATGGATCACAGTAGGGGCCTTCCTCACACTGGGAATCTCTGGAGACCCTCCATCACCGTGTGTACACACCTTCCACAGCCTGCAGCTGTGGCCACCTGGTCAGTAAACTGAATGCCTATCTGTGCATGGCACTGAAGGTTCACGCTAGAGCCCAAATCAGTGATGGAAAACAACTGTGGAATGATTGCAAAGACCTTACAGCCATGAAAAAAGTTCCCTCAGAACATGAGCCAGGGCTCTGATGTTCTTCTACTTCCTTTTCATCCTTTACCCGCTCACCGCTTTAACTCTCACTGCAATGACAAAGCTTCCCTCTCCAGTTCCCAACACACTTTCATAAAACCCATTAGGGCAACATTAAACACAACCATGAATATTTAAAGGAATACACTGAGAGTCCCCAAAGGTCTAATAAAACCACCATCGCATCAACCGTTACTCTGGCCAGTTTCCCGAAAAGAAACAGAGAGGCCTCTACTTCCATCCCACCCAACCTGATGGGACCTGCCTGATGGTCAGGAAGCCGAGACCTGGGGCCTTTAGGCACATTTGCTCCCTCCCTCAGGAACAGGAAGAGACAATTTTATGCTAGTAGCTGTTCCCCAGGGCTGAGAAAGTCAAACCACAGTGGCCAAACAATTGTGAAATTCAGCCACTAACAGCTTTAAATTAGTTAATATTTCTAAACCTGACCAGGACTAAAGCAATGTGAAGCAATCAAACCAGAAGTTTTGGACTCCACCACAGGGAAAGTAAGAAGAGAAGAGGAGAATGGCAAACAACACCTGGGTGTTAGAAAGTGAAGCCCCAGGTCACCAGACTGGGCAGCCACCACAAATCGCTTTTATTTAAAATGCACGCTGCTGAAAAGCCTGAGGCTATGAAGGGAGCAGGAAGGACTTACTAGAGTTTCTGGACAGCTGGGCATCACTGCTGGACTTTATGACCTTGTAGTTGGCAGGAACATCCGATGTCGTTGACTGGGACCGTTCTGGTTTTACCCTCAGCTTGCTGTGGTTTTCTAGAACTTGGGCTGCAGTTGCCAAAGCAACTTTTGAGTTCAGAGTTTGGAAAGAAGGTGAGGAAAAGTCCTCTTCCTCATCATCGCCAATGTCCCAAGCATCACTGGTATTCCGTGCAAACTCATGAAAACTGGAGGCCTTCTTATTCTTCAGAGGAACTGTGCTGACTTTTGATCGTTCTTTAATGAAACTTCAAGAAAGGAGACACAATTACCAAGGAATGGCCTGACACATCTGACCACCTGCATTTGCTTATTATTATAATGTTAATAAATTACAAACTACTCCATACATAATCATTAGCTTCTTCAAACAAAAACTGCCCATATCCATTCTTCATCTAGATACATCCAGACCAGCCTGAGATCGCAGAGACAGATGTAGCAGAGACAGCAATGGTCACCAAACATCCCATGTGCTCTTGTATACTTCCTGGCCCCCATGCACTTAGGTGAGGCCATATGACCAGTTCTGGCCAATGGACTAAGAAGAGAAATAAGGCGATTACTTCCAGGCAAAGTAGAGAATAGGTGTCAGTTCTGTATAACCTCTTTTTTTTTTTTTTTTTGAGACAGAGTTTCTGTCACCCAGGCTGGAGTGCAGTGGTATGATCATGGCTCACTGCAGTCTTGACCTCCTGGGCTCAAGTGATCCTCCCACCACAGCCTCTTGAGTAGCTGGGACTACAGGTGTGCACCACCATGCCTGGCTAATTTTATTATTATTTTCTGTAGACACAAGGTTTCACTATGTTGCCCAGGCTGGTCTTGAACTCCTGGGCTCAAGTGATCCTCCCACCTCGGCCTCCCAAATTGTTGGGATTACAGGTGTGAGCAACCATGCCTGACCTATAGCTTCTCTTCTATCATGATGACTGGCAAGATGGTAGAGACTCCCTCAGCCTAGGTAACTGAGTGACTATGTGAAGCAGCAGTAACTATGTCGAGGAGCCTGCCCTCTGCCCTTACCCACCCCCATTTTAGACATGTAGCATGAGCAGGAAATAGACCTTTACTATGCTAATCCACTGAGATTTGAGAGTTGATCTGCTATCACTTAGAGTAGCACATAAACTACTGGCAGAAAACGAGATAATTTTAGGTAGTCCACATATGTAGCATTAAACCTTAAGTCTCAAAATAAAAAAGTTGTTCCACTTTTTGGTCTTCCACTAGCCTTGAGAAGAAAGTTGAAGTTTGGTGCTACTCTGTCTTTAGACCATTTTCTAAGTAGGTGCCAAAGTGAGAGCAGCCTCAGAATCAATATATTTTCTAGCAACAAGATCTGGCTTTAATAAGACTGTTTGGTTTTTCACTGGGTATTTATACGGTTCTTTTCTTTTAAGAGTCAGGGCCTTGCTCTGTCACCCAGGGTGGAGTGATGGAGTGCAGTAGAGAAATCTTGGCTCACTGCAGTCTTGAACTCCTGTGCTCAAGCAATCCTTCCACCTCAGCCTCCTGAGTAGCTGGACTACAGGCGCACACCACCATGCTTAGATTTTTTTTTTTTTTTTGAAGAAATAAGGGTCTCATTATGTTGCTCTCGCTAATCTCAAACTCCTGGCCTCAAGTGATCCTCTCACCTTAGCCTCCCAAATTGCTGGGATCACAAGTATGAGCCACCGCGCCCGGCCGGTTTTCATTACATTTTTGAAGCAGATGATGATTCAATATATTTGAAGTAGATTAAGAATTGGAATTTATTCAAATGAAGACTTGCCAATAGAAACTGGGAGGACACTTTCCAACACAATGAAGAAGAAAGAAGGGAGAAAAGACTGTCATTCCCCGTGACATAAAGACATGAGACTCAAGGCAGACCATTCTGAGGTTGCCAGAAATGATTTTAAGGACACCAGCCCACAAAACCCAAAATTCAACCAACCAATTTAAAAGGCAGCTCTACCCTGAGGAAAGAAGCTTTCCTGGAGGAAGGGGTTGGTTTCACCTAGAAAAGGGGAAGAGTCTGAGGACAAAACAAGGTTGGTGAGAACCACCCACAAGAATGAAAGAGAAGGCCAGGCACAGTGGCTCACACCTGTAATCCCAGAACTTTGGGGGGCCGAGGCAGGCAGATCACCTGAGGTCTGGAGTTCGAGACCAACCTGATCAACATGGTGAAACCTCGTCTCCACTAAAAATACAAAAATCAGCCAGGTGCAGTGGTGCACACCTGTAATCCCAGCTACTCGGGAGGCTGAGGCAGGAGAATCGCTTGAACCCAGGAGGCAGAGGTTACAGTGAGTCATAATTGCGCCACTGCACTCCAGTCTGGGTGACAGAGCAAGACTCCATCTCCAAAAAAAAGAAAAAAAAAAAGAACGAAACAGCAAAGCAAGAAGTGAAAGGTACTTTGGTTTACCACTGACAGAAGGCAGAGAATCCACAGACCAGGAACAATAAACAATAATGGGTAAATTTAAGGCTCTGAAGCTTTTCCATGTTTACTAGTCATACTCTCTCCAGAGGAGATACATAAATTCACACATAAATATTGGCTACTCACTGGCTACCAGACCCTATGCTAAATTTTATATATACCCATTGTCTCATCTAATGCCCATTAACAATCCTATGAGGTGGGTATTGAGCAGGCAGTGAGGTCTGGGCTCAAATCCAGGTCTACCTGACTCCTGAGCCAGCGTGTGCTGCTAACTACTTACTCTACCTAGAAAAAAGCAGCTAAAAAGAAGAAGGCCAGGGCCTAGAAGGATCTGTAGCCTAGGAAGAGAAGTCGCCAAGTAAACTGAGCCACACACCACCACAGCTGTAATTCTCCCCAACTATACACAGCCAATAAGCCCGACTCTCACACCCCGTAGGAAAAAAAAAAATCTCACCTTGTAGGAAAAGACTTAGGTCTGACACACACAGCCTATTCTGAGTAGACAGGAAAGAAGCCACATCTAGGCATGGGCTCCTTGTACGAGAAATGTTGCCCCTTTCTGTTGACCCCGGTAGTTGCAGCAAAAAGTTAATCCAGGTAACTCCAGCTAGGGATGCCTTTGGTTTATACATTCCATTTAAACACAGTTCAAAGTAGTTTATACTTAACTCAAGGTAAAAGAATGCCACAGTGTGGCTTGAAGTCTAACCAAGATTATTTATTATAATTATTATGATTGAGATGGATTCTCGCTCTGTTGCCCAGGTTGGAGTGCAGTGGCGCAATCTTGGCTCACTGCAACCTCCGCCTCCCGGGTTCAAGTAATTCTCTTGCCTCAGAATCCCCAGTAGCTGACTAGGGACTACAGGCGCATGACACTAAGCCCGGCTAATTTTTGTATTTTTAGTAGAGACGGGGTTTCACCATGTTGACCAGGCTGGTCTCGAACTCCTGTCCTCAGGTGATCTGCCCACCTTGGCCTCCCAAAGCGTTGGGATTACAGGCATGAGCCACCATGCCCCACCTTAACCAAGATTATTGAAACACAACTCTATCAAAGTCACAATCAAACTGGCCTCTGATGAACACCTTCACCATACCTCCTTACAACTGTACGGCAAATCACAGTTTAGAAAGCACCTTTGCAGATACTTCACGCAATCCTCACAAATCTGTGAGGTAAGTCTTACTATCTACTTTATGAATGAAGAAACTAAGGCTCAGAAAGTTTCAGTAATTTGCCCAAGGTCATGGAGATGGTAAGTGGCAAAGAAAAAGGGATTCAAGAAGTGTAGGGAATACTAAAAATTTCAAAAACCTAATAAATGGCACATTTGACTTGGTAAAGTACTTGGTGATGAGTACCTTAGTAACACAAACACCTAAGGGTATGTTGAAAAAGAGTGGCCACAGGTTACACTGGTTAGGAGTATAAAAGATCAAGCATTCTGTCATTTGATCATACTACACTGTCTTACTGACACAGATGTTCTACTTAACAGAATTTTCTAGAAAAATGTTTGACACTGGCAAGTGATATGAAGTAAGTGGAGAAATTTAGTAACAATCAAATAAATTCAGGTATCTTAGTAACTAGTGTGGCTTCATATGAACTAGTTTTATAACTCGGAATTAGGACCTAGCATACTTAAGCATCAATTCAGAAAACAATAAACTCAGAAGCTTGTTATACCATCAAGTGGCCAATGGAGCTGCTCAGCAATGAGACTAGTTTTATCTGAGCTATAAAAATTATTGCAGGCAATAGTATCACTAATAGTAATCATTTGGCAAATTAAAGTCAATATACATGGACAGGGAATGACTTCCTGTGCTTGTGCAGTTTCGATGATTGAAGACCCAATGTAAAGGCTTCTGCTGTGATGTGTATTAACCACAAAGTAATTAATGATGGGCTGAAGTGGAACGATAATCATGTAGCAGAGAAAGTCATAAAAATGTCCTAACAAAGGTACTAAAATAGAGGCGATAAATGTTTTATGGCAACAATCTGAAATTGTAAAATGGTCTGGTGCAGAGGTAGACGTGGTCCCATGTTGTAAAATATCAGTATCAAACCACCACATACATGAAAAAGGGAACCAATTAATCCAGTGACAATTAAATTCCTCCCAAACTGTAAAGCTAAGTAATTACTCCTATTGAAAACATGACTGAAACTCTGCTGAGGGATCAATGAAAATATTCACGATTTTATATCATTAATAGGTGAGAAAATAATAGTATATAAAGTTTGCCTTGGCAGTTTGAGATATGGAAATATTCCTGAAGATCTGTCCTAAATACAAAATTAGGAAAAGCTCAGTTGATAACAGGTGCAGACAAGGTATGGTGATCTTGATCAAAACATAAAATGGACAGTACACTCAATGCCTTATATATGAATGGATGAACGGATTTATAGGTTAGCCACGTGTTTGTCAAAGGTTGTGCTAGAACAGATCTATTAACAATCAATAACTCCTGACTGTGACCAGAATGGTTGTGGTTACATGTAACATAATACTCAACTATGATCCTTAAATCGTAAGACCACAATGTAGGTCTAGGCTGTTGTCTTTGCTATTTTCGTTGTTTTTTTTTTTTTTTTTTGCCTCGGTGTTACAAGTTGGCTGCTATAGCTTTCAGAATCACACTCACACTACCACGTTCAAAAGCATGAAATGTGAATGGCAGCCAAAAGAGGGTTTCTTCACAGAACTGTCTCCCATTCTGACCAAAAAAGAAAATCTTTCCAAGAACCCTCCCCCAGGAGACTTTCTTTGGCCAGAACCAATGAGATGAGACCACTCTATGCCAGTCACTGGGATTACTAAAGAATTATCATGAAAGGCTTAAACCAATCTTAATACCTCCCCTAAGTGCATTGTTGCTTACTCAATATCTGAACAAAATTATGGTTCTTGAGCATGAAAGAAGCAGGCACAGGGAAGACTATCAGGTAGGTAACCAGTAGTGCCTGCCTCACTGGCCAACAGACCAGAAAGTCAATTCTTGATAAAACCAAAGAATAGTAGAATTCATTCTATTTAATGTGACGATCACACAGATATCACAGAAAACATGCTCCCCTTAAGAGCTAACAGCCAGATACGGTGGCTCACCCCTGTAATCCCAGCACGCCGGGAGGCCAAAGCAGGCTGATCACTTGAGTCCAGGAGTTTGAGACCATCATGGGCAACATGGTGAAACCCCATCTACACTAAAAATACAAAAATTAGCCAGGCATGGTGGCCCACGCCTGTAGTCCCAGTTACTGTGGGTGGGGTTGGGGGTGAGGCATGTGGGAGCTGAGGCAGGAGGATGGCTTGAGCCCCGGAGGTCAAGGCTGCAGTGAGCCCTGATCGTGCCAGTACACTCTAGCCTGGGGAACAGAGCAAGACTCTGTGGGAAAAAAAAAAAAAAAGGCCGGGCACAGTGGCTCATGCCTGTAATCCCAGCACTTTGGGAGGCCAAGGCAGGTGGATTACTTCAGTTCAGGGGTTCGAGATCAGCCTGGGCAACATGGCGAAACTGTGTCTCTACAAAAAATACAAAAATTAGCCAGTTGTGGTGGTGCACACCTGTAGTCCCAGCTACTAGGGAGGCTGAGATGGGAGGACTGCTTGAGCCCAGGAGGCGGAGACTGCAGTGAGCCAAGATGACACCACTGCATTCCAGCCAATAGAGTGACCCTATCTCAAAAGAAAAAAAAAGAAGACATAACGAAAGGTGCAAACCAAGGAACATTAAAGAAAAGCCTGCTGTTTAAGTAAATGAGATAGTTTCATTCCTTCATTCAATAAATATGTACTCAGTGCCTACTCTGTGCCACATGCTGGTCTAGAGGCTATGAGTACAGTAATGAACAAAACAAAGTCCCTGCTCTCAAGAAATCTATACAATAGTGGTTTCTGATTTGAAAAAAAAAAGCGTGCACCATGCAGACAAGAACAGCAGTCATGCTTCCTCAGTAATTCAGAAGACTGTGCCTTATACATACACCAAATCGCAAAAAAAAACAAGTTGGAAGAATTATAGAAAGTGCACCACATACTCAGCTAGGTTATTTTTAAAATTTTTAAATACTGATAATGCATATTTGATATAGCATTCTTCTAGGTATTCAAAATACTTTAATGTATATAATACTTTTTTTCTTATTTTAAAAACTACTTTATTTATATATTTAGAACAGTTTTAGGTTCACAGCAAAATCCAGAGGCAGGTACAGAGATTTCCTATATACTCCCTTCTCCCACATAGGCACAGCCTCTCCATTATGAACATCCGCCACCACAGTGGTACATTTGTTACAACTGATGAACCTACACAGATACGTTGTAATCACTAGAAGTCAGTAGTTTGAATTAGGGTTCACTCTTGGTGTTGTACATTCTGTGGGTTTGAACAAATGCATAATGACATGTATCCACTGTTTTTTGTTTTGTTTTGCTTTGTTTTTTGAGACAGAGTCTTGCTCTGTCGCCCAGGGTGGAGTGCAGTGGCTTGATTTCAGCCCACTGCAACCCTCGGCTCCCAGGGTCAAGCAATTCTCCTGCCTCAGCCTCTGGGGTAGCTGAAATTACAGGCGCCCGCCACAAAGCCCGGCTAATTTTTGTATTTTTATTAGAGATGGGGTTTCACCATGTTGGCCAGGCTGGTTTCAAACTCCTGACCTCAGGTGATCCGCCCACTTCAGCCTCCCAAAGTGCTGGGATTACAGGGATGAGCCACTGCGCCCGGCAGTATCCGCCGTTTTTATACTATCATACAGAGTAGCTGCACTGCCCTAAAAATCCTCAGTGCTCCACTTATTCATATCTCCCCTCAACCCCACCCCTTGGCAACTGATCTTCTCACTGTCTCCCTGTTTTGCCTTTTCCAGAATGTCATATAGTTGGAACCATAATTGTACATTATCTTGACTTCCCTATTAAGACATGGGCCCCAGGAAAGTGAGAACCTATGTCTGTATCTCCCAAACCATTCAGCTTTCATTACAAACAACAACTTTCCCAGAAACTAGTCTCTAAAATTAAGCATGCCCCCAAATAGAGGCCAAAGTTCTTAGAAAATCTCACAAGGTGACCTACCCCCTCATTTAAGTTCACTGTGGCTCAGTGATGGTCCATGAGAGACAGATGGGATAAAGGGATAACTGGGGGTATGGATACATAGCCACACATCTTGGATTTAACTAAAGTCTCTGTTGCATTTGAAAATAATTTATTAGAGTTCTAGAGATATAGCCTCCTAAATAGCTTTTATTTATTTATTTTTATTTTTTTGAGATGGCATCTCACTTTGTCGCCCAGGCTAGAGTGCAATGGCATGATCTCAGCTCACTGCAACCTCTGCCTCCGGGGTTCAAGTGATTCTCATGCTTCAGCCTCCCAAGTAGCTGGGATTACAGGTGCCTGCCACCACACCCAGCTAATTTTTGTATTTTTAGCAGAGACAGGGTTTCACCGTGTTGGCCAGGCTAGTCTTGAACTTCTGACCTCAAGTGATCCACTTGCCTCGGCCTCCCAAAGTGCTGGGATTACAGACATGAGCCACCATGCCCAGCCCTAAATAGCTTTTAACTCTTCTGTACATATGCCTAGGTCTCTTTGAGTGTGTCAAAGGGAAAGAGGAACTAAAGAATGTCAGCCTAAAGTTATACTCTGTTGCCCTAGTTCTCATAGTAAAAGTGAGGAAAAGGTGGCAGACCTACCTATATTCAGAAGCAGTGAGCCTCGGAAACCAGATCTCCTGCTAAAAGATCTGGAGGTCATCAATCTTCTGGTTTCAGGGACAGCATTTAATCAATAAAGACGTTTTGACCATTCTCTTTTGACCAAAGAATCGGATACCAAACCCTACATATACCAGTTCCCAATATAGGAAAACACAAAATCTCTAATGGATGTTAATTTCCCATTTAGCAACGGACCATTTGGAAGTAAGAAGATTGCTCATCTCCTGGTACAAAATAGGGCAGAAGAGAAGCTAAAAAAGGTCAAAGTGGAAACTGTCATTTCAACAAAATAGGGGAGCGCATAGGGGTGACAGAAGTAGATAGATAAAAGGAAAATGTCTTGACTTACTTTTTGGTGAGCCGAGGGTCAAGAGGAGGATGCTGTGCTCCATATACAGGCTGGATGCTAAAAGCAGAAAAAAGAAAAAGAAGAAATAAACTGTTAGTTTAGCTGGGAAACTAAATACGTTGGCTGAGTACCATCTGCATCACAAAATTGGATGGGACTTTGAGAAATAGGTTATCTCTAATAACTGTACTCAAGTCATCCCCCAAAGAGAGCAATCTTCCCTTTAAAAAATATATTTGGCCGGGCGCGGTGGCTCAAGCCTGTAATTCCAGCACTTTGGGAGGCCGAGACGGGCGGATCACGAGGTCAGGAGTTCGAGACCATCCTGGCTAACACGGTGAAACCCCGTCTCTACTAAAAAAAAAATACAAAAAACTAGCCGGGCGAGGTGGCGGCGCCTGTAATCCCAGCTACTCAGGAGGCTGAGGCAGGAGAATGGCGGGAACCCGGGAGGCGGAGCTTGCAGTGAGCTGAGATCCGGCCACTGCGCTCCAGCCTGGGAGACAGAGCGAGACTCCGTCTCAAAAAAAAAAAAAATAAAATAAAATAAAATAAAATAAAAAATATATTTGATAATGTTCATTTTCCCTGGTGAAGTTTCAGTGCCTTACACACCTATGTGTAAAGAAGGCAAGATGGAAAGGTAACGGGCTTTAGAGCTGGAGAGAGCAGAATTCAAATGCCAGTGCTGGCACTCAGTACCACTATGAACTTCAGCAAGCTTTTTGACTCCTTTGAACCTGCTTTGCCATCTAAAGTGGGAATACTGCCTACTTGAAAGGCTCATCGGGCTAAAAGACAGTGAAGGGTGACCTAAGGAACTCACACACTGCAGGAGGGGTATAAAGTGACATAACCACTTCAAAAAACAGTTTGGCCATATCTAGGAAGAATGAAATATGCATACCCTAAGACCCAGTATTTTCACTCCCAAATAGGTACCTTAAGCTAAATACACACCTATATGTATTAGGAGACATATATAAGACTATTCAAACCACCATGGCTCCTCTTAGCCCCAAACTAGAAATAACCCAAATGTCCATCAGTAATAACAAGAGAAATCAATTGAAACACATTTATACAGTACAACATTACACAGCAATGATAATATATGTGAAGTAGGGCTTCGAGTAACAATGTGGATGGATCTTACAAATGTCATGTTGAACAAATGAAGTATAAGAGAATAAATACTGTATGATTCTACTTATATAGACTTCAAAAACTGACAAAAGTAGTTTCTACTGTTTAGTGATGCATGCAGAGTAATATTATAAAGAAAGAAAGGGGCCGGGCGCGGTAGCTCACGCCTGTAATCCCAGCACCTTGGGAGACTGAGGCGGGCGGATCACGAGGTCAGGAGATCGAGACCATCCTGGCTAACACAGTGAAACCCGGTCTCTACTGAAAAAAAAAAAAAAAAAAAAGAAAGCAGTAAATGACATAGTTCCCTCTGGGGGAAAGAAAGGAGGAGAGAGCAAATAGACACAGAAGTTTCTAGGGGTGTTCACTTTGTGATTATTTATTAAGCCATCATACCACACATTTGTGCTTCATGTACTTTTCTGTAACATATCACAATTAAAAGAAAATGAGCTGGATGGGGTGTCCCACACCTATAATCCCAGCACTTTGGGAGGCTGGGGCAAAAAGACTGCTTGAGCCCAGGAGTTCGAAACCAGCCTGGGCAAGAAAGTGAGACCCTGTTTCTACAAGAAAATAAAAAATTAAGGCCGGGCGCGGTGGCTCAAGCCTGTAATCCCAGCACTTTGGGAGGCCGAGACGGGCGGATCACAAGGTCAGGAGATCGAGACCATCCTGGCTAACCCGGTGAAACCCCGTCTCTACTAAAAAATACAAAAAACTAGCTGGGCGTGGTGGCGGGCGCCTGTAGTCCCAGCTACTCGGGAGGCTGAGGCAGGAGAATGGCGTAAACCCAGGAGGCGGAGCTTGCAGTGAGCTGAGATCTGGCCACTGCACTCCAGCCAGGGCAACAGAGCAAGACTCCGTCTCAAAAAAAAAAAAAAAAAAAAAAAAAAAAAAAAAAAAAAAAAAATTAGCTGGGCATGGTGGTGCATGTCTGTAGTCTCAGCTACTCGGGAGGCTGAGACAGGGGGATCGCTTGACCCCAGGAGTGTCCAGACTGCAGTGAGCACACCACTGCACTCCAGCCTGGACCCTGTTGGAAAGGAAAGGGAAAGGGAAGGAAGAGAAGAAAGAAAATGAGAATAAATGACTTGAGAATAACTATATATCAAGCCAAACTATTGTTTAAGTATAAATGTAAAACAAAAACAAAACAAAACAAAACAAAAAAACAAAAAAAACTACTTTCAACATATAAGAACTCAGGGAAAATGTGTTCCTTAACTCCTGCCTGAAGAAGCTGTGAGAGAACAAACTTTAATCATGAGATAGGGAAACCATGGCAAAAGGATTGGTGGAGAGCCCTGAATGAATCCAACCTTACAACTAGGTCTTACATTTGAGGCAAAGAGAATGTAAAAGTAATATAATTGACAAATGTTAAAAGGAGGAAAAAATGGACAAATGAAGTCCATTGACTTCTTCATCTTTTACCGACAGGGCTCAGAAGATATTTAAAGCAGATAGCTCAATGTGCAAATCTATGTCACTACCTGCTTAACATTAAATCCTAATGTAGATTTGCAAATGTGAATAGACGAATATGTATGTTTTACGACAGAAAATAAAACCAAGAAAAATAATATAATCAACTAGAAGGAGGTGGAAAGAGAGGGGTGAGGAATATACTTACTAATTTCATCATTGCTCATGGTAGGGAGTCAATGGGTACTGTCTGAAGAAATATCGTATAAAGTTACACTTACAAACATAATCACTAGAATAAAAAGATAAATCTTCCAAATTATCAGAATATATATATATATATATATATATATATATATATATATGAGGGGAGGGCATATATATATATATGCCCTCCCCTCAAAAGCAAGCATAGTCCACATAGTGAAAGATTTTTTTTAAGAAGAAAATATTTTTAAAAGGTCAAGCATGGTAGCTCACATCTGTAATCCCAGCACTTTGGGACGCTGAGGTGGGAGAACCGCTTGAGGCTAGAAGTTTGACGAGCCTGAGCAACACAGCAAGACCTTGTACCTACAAAAAATTTAAAAATTAGCCAACTGTGGTGGTGCATGCTTGTAGTTCTAGCTACTTGGGAAGCTGAGGTGGGAGGAATACTTGAGCCCAGGAGTTTGAGACTACAGTGACCTATCATGTCACTGTACTATAGCCTGGGCAACAGAGTAAGTCCTTATCTCAAAAAAAAAAAAAAAAAAAAAAAAAGGCAAGGCACGGTGGCTCACACCTGTAATCCCAGCACTTTGGGTGGCCGAGGCAGGTGGATCACGAGGTCAGGAGATCGAGACCACCCTGGCTAACACGGTGAAACCCTGTCTCTACTAAAAATACAAAAAATAAAATAAAAATTAGCCGGGCATGGTGGCACGTGCCTGCAGTCCCAGTTACTCCGGAGGCTGAGGCAGGAGAATGGCATGAACCCGGGAGGTGGAGCTTGCAGTGAGCCAAGATCGCTCTACTGCACTCCAGCCTGGGCGACAGAGCGAGACTCTGTCTCAAAAACAAACAAACAAACAAAAAAGATGAAGAAAATATTAAAAATTGAACTAAAACTAAATAAATATATCAGTTATTCCAATAAATATAAAGGAGCTAACTTACCTATTAAAAGAGAAAGGATAATTACCAACAGGAAAGTAGTTAAATAAATTACAGTACATCTTTTAAAAAGAATGGGGCAGTTCTGGCCAGGTGCAGTGGCTTGCGCCTGTAATCCCAGCACTTTGGGAGGCCAAGGAGGGCAGATCACCTAAGGTCAGGAGTTCAAGACCAGCCTGGCCAACATGGCGAAACCCCATCTCTACTAAAAAATATAAAAATTAGCCGGGCATGGTGGCAGGCGCCTGTAATCCCAACTACTCAGGAGGCTGAGGCAGGAGAATCGCTTGAGCCCAGGTGGCGGAGGTTGCGGTGAGCAGAGATCGTGCCACTGCACTCCAGCGTGGGTGACAGAGCAAGACTCCGTCCCAAAAAAAAAAAAAAAAAGAATGAGGCAGTTCTATGTTCACTGACATGAAATAAACTCAGACATTAACTGAAAAAAGATGCAGAACTATATGTATGACACCATTTTTGTAAAAATCTTTAAAATAGATATACGCATTTTATGTATGATTAGGTCTATGTATTCACAGAGTATCTGAAAAAATACAAAAGACACTGGTAGCAGCAGTTTGGAATAGGAACCAGATGACTGGAAGATGATGGGACACCAAAGAGACTCAGTTTTCACTGCAAACCCTTTCTGATGTAGTATCATGTACAAGTATCACCTTTATAAGAAATAAGCAATCTTGAGAAGGTTAGAAGGTTCAAGTGGGATGATATGTCAAAAGCCCTTCAGCATAATTCCTGGTGGGTGGTAATGCTCATTTAATGTTAAGCAAGAAGTGATGTAGATTTGCGAACGTTAGAACACTACCCAGCACACACTCAGTGCCCAAGAAACGTTGATTTTCTTCCTGCCTCCCATTTTTATAATTTAATCCATACCCAACATTTAGAAATTGAAACAAACTTACCAAATACTTGTTTCACATAACAGAGGTGATCCTAAAGGATGCTTTTAAATAAAAATATAGCCAATTCAATCACTTTCACATTAATTTCTATTAAGATTTCGGAGGAAATCTTATATATAATCTTTAATTTATGAATACAGTCCCTACCTGTTTAGCTATAAGAATCTTTACTCCCTAAACTTCTCTGGAAGATTAATACGTGTAAGCGAACTATTACCTATATTACTACAGAAATACAGACTCTGAAAACAATACTAATTGATGTGTTTAAAGGGTTTCCTAGGCAGAGAGAAAAAAAGAGGAATCAAAGAGTAAAGGGAAAGTTCTGCTGAGAGAGGAAGGGGGTATTAGACACGGACACCCCCACCTACTGCAAAAAAAAATCCCAAAGGGCTACTGATATGC